TGGTTATTTAGGAAACCAGGGTGAAATCGCTTGAGGAAACGACAACGGCTCGTCGAGGATTTTCGCCTGTTCAGTCACGCTCTCCCGCGCGGATATTCACTCTCGCCACCCGCGAGCCGTCTGTGCTCTCCGCGCGTACATTCACTCTCGACACTACTCTCGCACAGTAGAGAGCCATGGTCGAGGAATTCCTCGACCGTTATTCACCCTGGTGACAACCCCAATTACAAAATACGAGTTATAAGAGAAAAACGCTTCATAATTGTTCACGAGGAAAAATGTTATGGCTCAAAAAATTGGAAGCTGTCTGATCCAGAAATTGAGTGCGGAAGCCACGCCCATAAAGGGCGGTACTTCAACTCTGATGACTGCCAGATCTCGTTCTCATTTGTTTTTTCTTCTATCACAACTTGATTCCTCAGAGATCATGGCATGCCATATCTTTGTAAGGTTCATGAAGGTTTTGTCCACACAACTGCACTTTCACCTCATAGTAGTGTACAGGTGGAACAGGAGCTCAGTAGCGCGTAATGACGAGCCAAAAAGGAAATGCTCGGAGTAGGATTCGTGAGGTGTTTTTCTAGAGCGAAAAAGAGTTGATATTGTAGTACGAATAATCTCATGGATACTTTGGTTATAATGGACACCTTATTGAAACCAACACTCACTCGTAGGTCATCGCCAAGAATAACCTCAGATCAAGCCCCAGACGTCGCCCCAAGCTGAAATCACCTACCAGGTACTTGTTGTATAGGCGGCGGAGGCTCACGACCTTCCACACAGACGTCTGGCATCGCTTGAATCGAGTTCTCAACGCGTAATGTCGATTTCCACTGACGCATTCGCATCATGAAACGATGCTGTGATGCAGAGAATTTCACGAAATACGCGCTTCTGAAAACGCAAACAGAACTTTCCAATTTGAAAACATTCTGCAAAATCAACATAAACAAAATTTCCATAAAAATCTTAAAAAAAACTCCAAATATGAAATACTCAAATTACTGGAAATATTTACTGTAAAAATACTTGTAATAGATAAATAATGTAATACTAATGGGGAACCATACTTGAACCCCGCATGAACACCAATTGATGAAAATATTGATTAGAACCACTTTAGGGAGGAACGTAGCGCAGTGGCTGGAGCCGTCCCCACCTCATACTCTTACCTATTCATGGATCAGAGTCCGGACAATTTGTTCATAGATGATTGTCACACATAATGTAAGCTGGTAAAGGACAAAAATGCAGGGTAGGGCAAAAGCTGGTCGTCATATCTCCTTGAATAGATCTTATATGCATTCAATTGTCTCCGCAATCGTGAATGGAAGACAAATGCATGGCGCATCCCAATCTGACCGATCAATATGAAGCGGTTTACCTTCCATCTACTGAGGGACCCGCATGCACCAACACTACTGTTATGGTGATGTAGAAACAAAAGAGGGTGAAGGGTTTTATGGAGCGCCCTAGAATGCGTCACGCATACATATTGTCAGGAGAGATATAGGTTCCCAGACTTTCCTTCAGAAAAAATCAATTCCGGTACCCGAGCATGAGAAAATGGGAGCTTTGTTGGCCTGAGGTTCGGGCTTGGGCTGTCATGCCCCCCGAACATCGTCACCCATTACGCCTTCTCTCCTACATACATATGACCACTGATCATCAACTCATCAACTATTAATAAGAAATAGTCCTATATAGTTAACAAGAATGCAGTATTCTCCAGATATCTCAGAAGTCTAAAGCTTCCTAAAGCAATTTCAGATAAGCAGTGAACTTCCCTCACTTTGTATGATGATCGGTGAAAAAGATTGATTCCGTCTGTTGGCTGCCTTCCACCGCGATGATCACAAACCTAAAATTCACAGCATTTCAGATTTGGGCGACAAAAAACAGCCGGAAAGGTTCTATGAATTTCATTTACACTCACTTCTTCCTGTCAAACTGCAATGTTTGGGTGTCCTGCCACAAATGCTCGGCCAGCAGTTCCCTCATTGAGCCCTGAAATGGTTCATACAGCTTGACGAAAGAAGGACTTGCAAGCCACCGTGTTGGGCAAATTTCAGGAACAGCACCCTTTCCCCTCACCCCCCCCCACCTCCGTTTTGAGCAGGTCTTCACACAGTCAACCTCTCTCACAACGTTTAACACGTTGACGACAGCCCCTTGTGCGTGTACCTCGGCAACTTTTTGTTTATTTTTTCACAATCGTCATAACTTCTTCAATAATTCCACTACTGGTAATTGATGCACAGTTTTTCGGATAAGATAATGCATGCACACAGTTTTGAAATATGAAAAAGGCCAAATAAACCAAAAAAACTAGCCAGAATCGGGTGAAATTCTGACGCGCATGCGCGTCATGCTGTCGTCAACGTGTTAAAGAGGACAGTGAAGACTAACAAATCGTGCGGTATCGAGAAATATATGCAAAGGTCGAAACGGCGAAAATTACCAAATTTTGAAATATTTTTGAGTTTTTCCAATTTTTCCCATCCTTCAAATATTCTCCCTCCCACTCTATCGAACGCCGGCATCTATGCTCTGCTCGCGAAAACCAGAACGGGCGTCGGGTGCAGACCACACACCACAAGTGACGACGGCCTCCAAGTAAATCTGGTAGTGGTTCATAGTGATAGCTGATAGTTGGTAAATGATAGTTGTAATTAGTGACAACTGATAGAATACAACTGCAACAGGCTAATCATTTCATTGGCAGAAAACATTTACATTTTGTGGAGGCCGTCGTCACTTGTGGTGTGTGGTCTGCACTCGACGCGCATCTGGTTTTTGAAGGCAGAGGGTACGTCCCTGCTCCTATAGGTCACGAAAACAGCCCCCCCTCTAAAACTCGGCTCAACGGACGGTTGATGCTGCTCCACGAGGAGCAAGGACATGGCAGGCTTAGATCTACGCACCTGTTCTTCATAGATGCCAATGCCCTCGTGGCATTGATTGCAATCCA